TGGACAAATACACACAACGTGTTTAGTTTGATTTCAAATTTCATGAGAGAGAGAGAGAGAGAGGAAGTAATACCCAATTGTGTTGTTGTGTTAATCTAAGACCAATTTGTTAACCATTATTCTTCTACACATCGCAACACTTGTAACGAAATAATAATAATGAAAAAAACGATGTTTTTCTGTGATTTGTATGACAGCTGAAGCCGAGCGCCTGAAACGGCTGTACCCGGAAAACGAGCGCCTTATTGCCAACATTCCCAGCCGGTTCTTCGAAGTGATCTACCCCGTTCAGGTCCGAGAACACCTCAAGTTTGGCATTTCCACCCGAGATGCCAGTGCCAATCGGGTGAGTCCACCACCTCTAACGTCTATAACCCATCTATCATTTCCCTCCCCTCTCTCTCTCCCACACGGCTATCGATATGTCAATCGACACAAAATTCTTGTGTTACCACACAATCGGCTCCGTATTTGAACGTCAAATACTCTTTTGCCACACTTTTTACTTTCATTGACATTTCGGTTGACGTGTGGACACAAACTTTTTTGATTAAATGAGTCAACGCTATAGTTAATCATTGGATTGTCTTGTTTTTGTGATTTTGATGCTATTCTTCAAACACCACAACCAGACGGGCAAACACTTCCATAAGACATCTTTGCTCATCAAAGCCTTTAATCATAAGTTCCAACTGGAACTCGAGCTCAATACGTAAGTCACCCTCAGATACTACCTGCCCATCAAACTCTGCCCATTCTCTGCCCCTTCCCAGACCCCCATCCCAATCATCATTTCATTTCCCTCTAATTTTCCACTCGTTTTTCACCTCTTTTTAAAGAAATAAAAAGTGATTTTTCTTATCGCAGAATCAGTTTTATACGATTCGAGGCATAAAAATCATTTTGATTTACTGTCAAACCATAGCATCAATTTTGATACCAAATTCCTGTCTATCAGTTGGCATTGTATTCACACTTTTTTTCATTGTATTTATTTCTATTTATAGACATCTTTTAGCGCCAAATCTAATTCAGAAGCATTTCTTGCCCGAAGGGGCGCAGCAAATATCAACTCAGGTAATGACATGTCTCTAACGTCTCTTTACCAGTGCATCAACACTAGATTTTTATACATATTTTATACACAAACGGACACTTTGTTCAATAATATAACAACACATTCACATTACCTAAGAATATATTTGTGTTTTATTCAAAAACCGTGTACTAAACCCATATATTCTGTTCGCTAAAAAATTTGTTTCTTCACGCAAACAGCGGAAAACAACACACCTTTAAATCTCTCCATAAACTTACACTTTATTCCCTATCATATTAAGGCGCTGTGTTTTCCCCCACTATTTCTTTACTCAAAACTGAGAGAAAACTATATTGTCTTTTATATTATTGTTATTTGTTTGTCACAAAAATAAGGCACAAAATTCCTATCATCACAACCACATTAAATTTAAGAATGAAATTTGTTTTAATGCTTCTTTCTGTTTCTCTCCCCTCTTTAATACTAGTGAATACAAATTATTTGCATTCAATTGCATTTCAAACATTTTTCACTAGTTTTGTTTCTATCCATATTGTAATACGGTTTGCGAATAATGAAAAAGTTTATTGTAAACCATATTTAGATTGAGTGAAAAGGCAAACAAACAATATTGAGAGCAAAAACACTACAGAAATATATAATAAATTATGACTTTATATACATATTTTATACACAAACGGACACTTTGTTCAATAATATAACAACACATTCACATTACCTAAGAATATATTTGTGTTTTATTCAAAAACCGTGTACTAAACCCATATATTCTGTTCGCTAAAAATTTGTTTCTTCACGCAAACAGCGGAAAACACACCTTTAAATCTCTCCATAAACTTACACTTTATTCCCTATCATATTAAGGCTCTGTGTTTTCCCCCACTGTTTTACTCAAAACTGAGAGAAAAACTATATTGTCTTTTATATTATTGTTATTTGTTTGTCACAAAAATAGGGCACAAAATTCCTATCATCACAACCACATTAAATTTAAGAATGAAATTTGTTTTAATGCTTCTTTCTGTTTCTCTCTCCTCTTTAATACTAGTGAACAAAAATTATTTGCATTCAATTGCATTTCAAACATTTTTCACTAGTTTTGTTTCTATCAATATTGTAATACGGTTTGCGAATAATGAAAAAGTTTATTGTAAACCATATTTAGATTGAGTGAAAAGGCAAACAAACAATATTGAGAGCAAAAACACTACAGAAATATATAATAAATTATGACTTTATTCTCTCTCTCTCTGTATTTTGTTGCCATTCTTTTTCCATACCATTCCCAGTGTTTGAATCAAATTTCACAATTGAATGACATTTTCATTTATCATTCACTCATAACATACGATACGATTCCAAATGCTTTCCAAACGTATAAAATGTTATGTTTTCTCTCGTCTTTAGCTCTCCTTTTCAGCACTTTCTCTAAAAGACGTCTCTTTTTTAGAGAAACCGTTGCTTTCCTTTCAATTAAAGTTTAGCTCTTATTTAATGTATTGATTATTAGGAAAGTATTTAGACTACAAGTAATGGCAGTAATGGTCAGCACTATTTTTTTTGTGCCCAAAAAATACTCAAAGATTTATAATAAAAAAGTTTTATTGAAAAGAAGGAAAAAAACTTAAACTAAAATAACTCAAACATTAAGTCTTTTAAATCCAAATCTAGAATCTAATCGGAAATTATTAGTTTTGCAGAAATCTATTTGAATTAAATTGGGATTAGATTTAGTCTCGTTTTTAAAAAATTTGTTTTCTAATAACAAAGTTTAGAATTTTGTGACATTTGAAACCAAATTAGTTTAAATCCCATGTTTTTGTCTTTTATTTCCACTAATAAGTGCTTTAAATTTTAAGTTTCATTAGACTTCATAAGACCTTAATCTCAAAGTTTAAGGCTTTGCACAAAAAATATACTACAAAATTAGATTCATGAAAAGTATTGATTAGTTTAGTAATACTGATAACATCTAAAAATAAATGTTGTTTTATTTTTTTGTTTATTACATGTTATCAAACATTTTTAAATAAATCAATATTTAAGAAAATTTTAATGAATAAAATGATATCTCAATCAATCCTTTATTACAGAAACATGTTTTAAGTTTTCTTAATATAAAAGCAGTAAATTTTCATATATTTTTTGCTTCAATTGTTTTATTCAATCACGAGATTAAATAATATTAGTTTATATTTGAATTAATTTAATTCAATTAAAAAAGTAAATTAAAACATGAAATGAATTGACTGTTAAAACATGTGTTAATGATTGCAACTGAAATCAAACCATCGCTTCAAACATTGAATTAAATTCATAGCAAAACTACTGAACATTTTTGGACAAAAGGTTTTTTAAACTGTTATTACATTGAAATCAATTAATCGATTGTGTTATTCATTGATTCGTTGATTGATTTAAAAGACAAATCACTTCTTCTCATTTAAACTTGATTTTGAGGTTTAATACAAGTTTTCAATTGAAATTCACATTTAAATGAGATGTTGAGAAACCAATGCATTCTTCGGACGCGTTTATCACACATTTGTGGCAAACATTTGGACAATAAATATAATTTACGTGTAATTAATAAACGTTTCATACGATTGACGTCTTGTTGTGATTATAATGAGAGGACAGATAAGAAGATCGTTAAGAAAGGGAACAACTTATCGGCCGTTTTGCACGCCATCGACGATCTCAGGCTCCAAAAGATGCCTTTACCGCCAACGCCGGGCCGACACGAGCTGTTGCTGAAGACACTTTGTGTGGGTATTTGCGGATCAGATATACACTATTGGAAGCACGGAATGATCGGCGACTTTGTGCTCAAAGACCCCATAATTATGGGCCACGAGTCGAGCGCACAGGTGGTGGCTGTGGGCGAAGGGGTGACCGGTTGGAAAGTGGGTGATCGGGTGTGTTGTGAGCCCGCAGTGCCCTGTCGTGTGTGTGTGTGTGACCTGCAAAGAGGGTCAGTACAACCTCTGCGAACACATGTTATGTCACGCGACTCCACCACAACACGGCTCACTCACCCAACTCTTCATACATCCCAAAGACTTTACGTTCAAATTGCCCGACAATCTCACTGACGAAGAGGGAGCTATGATTGAGCCGTTGTCGGTGTCCGTATACGCCGTCCAAAGATCTGGTGTTACGGCGGGCTCGTCGGTGATGGTCACCGGTTGCGGACCAATCGGTTTCTTCCAGACAATGGTCTCGAAAGCGTTTGGCACAGGGTTTTGGTTTTGGACACGAACTGCAATCGTTTAAAACTGGCCAAAAGTATTGGCGCCGACGAAGTGATTCAAGTGGATAGGGATATGACTGAAGATAATTTAGTTTAAAAAGTGATGGAAGTGATGGGCCGATCCATTGACGTGAGCCTTGAGTGCAGTGGCGCGCCATCGATGGTAAGGCTGGGAATGTTGGCCACAAAACGGGGCGGAACTATGCTATTGACAGGACACGGACCCAAAGATATGAATCTACCGATGGCTTCGGCCGCCATTCGTGAAGTCACTATTAAGGGTTCATTTCGTTACCGCAATTGCTTTCCATTGGCTTTAGCACTGGTCAGCACCGGTAGAGTACAACTCAAACAATTGATTACACATCGATTTCCTTTCGATAAAACGTTGGACGCCTTTAACATAGCCTTCAAAGGAGAGGGCATTAAAGTGATCATTAATGTAAACGAAGCCGACTGACCACAGACCGCAACTCATCCCCAAATCATTACAATATTTGTGTTTTATTTTGTGCTTAATTTATACATTTATAGTATTTTAAGTGTTTATTTGATTATTTTTATTAATTTAATTATTAGTTTTTATGTAGTATTTGTTTTAATTTATCAGTTTATTTTTCTTTTAAAATGTATTTAATTTACATGTTTAAAAGCGTTTGATAGCAAATATGTTCATAAAGTAATAGTAAATAATTAAATATTTATTTTAAATGTATGCGGGAATCTATAGATGATTTCAATATTCAAAGTATACATTATATTTTGAGAGTATTGTGAAAATAAGCGACACTTTGTAACCTTTCACGCAATGTATTTCATTCATTGTTATTCATTCAATGTATTCAATACTTTGAGTATTTATTTATCGTATTTTCAATTCTATTTAAATGTGTTTTTATATATTTTTATCAATACTTTTGAAATGCATTGAAAGTTGTGTTTTGGGTTTACTATTCGCTCATAACATTAAGGATTCACATGTATTTCATTTCTGTTGTGTATAAAACTTACACAAAAAATCACTTCAATTCAATCAATTTCTAACAATTTTTACTCTCTTCTCATAAAAACACATTTTCCAGAATATATTAATACTTTTTTGGTTTTGTATTCATATGTATATATAGAAAGCGTTTGAGAATAAGTGAAAATTTGATACAACACTCGTGTGTTTTGAGCTTATATTTTGTTTTGTTCAACAATTCTCCAGTGGTTTGCAGTTTATTATAACTTAAATCCCTTTGAAAAGATAGCAAATTTCTATATTTACCACTTTTAATGCTATCATTTCAATGTATTCCCAATTCATTCATATTATAAATTGCTTTTTCTTACAAATTGTGTTCATTTCGCCACACATTCGAGAGAGAGAGA